GTTACTTACTTACGGTTACTTACTTACGGTTACTTACTTACGGTTACGGTGTGAAGGCAGGCCGGAAAGTATGTAAGGCAGTAAGACCAAGTCTGGGCTCACTGCCAAGGGACCATGTGGCTAGGAGCAGGGAAACAACTTGATAGGTTGGTTAAAACAACCAATGGACTGCAAGAAGAAGACTATATCACCTTTTAAGGAAGAAAAGAGGGAGGCTTGGCATGGGAGGAGTGAGGGAGTGGTTATGTAAATCAAAGAGTCTTAAAAGGCCTCATCCCTCGCATTTGGGGTGTGCTCAGACCTGGTCACAAGTGCGGTGCAACCAACACGCTATTAATGAAAGTTCTTTGTTTCGCTTTATTTGGCCGTCTCCAAAATTTTAATTAGAGATATTTCTCACAATTCCTTTTATTACAAATGTCATCATTTCTGGCAGACTGAGCTGGCAAGAATTCATATAGTCTTGAGTAGCCACGCTTGACCATAGTTTGCTTAGATAAAGTTTTTGTTTCTTTCTTAACAATTGAGTGAGTATGATATGATTGTAATATGACCAGTAGAGCTCAAATAGACTGATGCTGTCTGTATTCAATTGTTGTGTTGTATCTCATCCATGCTTTTCTTTTGGTGGGGTTAAAGCAGTAGTTTCTGAAGCAGCTGAGCAGGCTTAATGGCTCACTGCTGCCGAAAGAAGTTCTTCTAGCTGTATCCCTTCACTGGGGTTGTCTCTGCTGTTAGTGCTTGGCTCAAGAGCTCTGCAGCAGGTCGTTGCCTTTGTGCATCTGAGGTAGTTTTCTCTTGAACTGGGAGCTGTTTTATGGGCAGCTTCTGTGAGTGCACTGACTGGTGTAATCTGTGTCGTGGGAGGGAGTTGGACCTTCTTCTGTAGGGAGTGGTGACCTTGTAGATCAACTGACTCCACCTTACAAACTACATCTTCATTTAGCTGACTGCATTGACAGGCTCTGAAACGAGTCATCTCATTCAGTTTCAAATGTCTGCAACCAAAATGTAGCATTTTCTGATAATTGGGAATCAGGAGAAAATTGGGTACCCCAGATGGCACTGTCGAAGATTACAGCCTGTGGGAAAGGACAGATGCTACAGCTGGCTGTTTGCAGAGTCATTTTGATCCTGGACAATAGTGAGGTTTACATAGACTTCAACTTTTCGGACATGAGTAGAAAGTGAATGCCCTGAGGGGGTTATGACCTGCTTTCAGCTTTGATTTCAAACCAAGGACTGTTTTTTTCATGAAAAAATATGTGGTTCTCTGTGCCTTGCAGATTTCAACTTTTGTTGTTTGTGTTGTAGAGTGTGTAGCAAAGACTATTAAAAGGACTTTCCAGCCCTTTCACAACTCTGGATGTGTGGATATAACTGTTGCGGACTTTCTGTCTTTTGCAGTTGCTGCGGGAGCTCAAGCATCCAAATGTCATTTCTCTGCAAAAGGTGTTTCTTTCTCATGCTGACAGGAAGGTGTGGCTTCTCTTTGACTACGCTGAGCATGACCTCTGGGTAAGGTAAATTGTTTGTAGGTACCAGACTTAGAGTTTTAGCTGCAGCAAAGGGACAAGATCAGGGGAGACATCATTTTAAGCATGGTATAGCCTCATGCTCCGTGCTTGTTGGATGCATTTTCAGTACTAAAGGGAAAGCAACAGAAAATGTTGAGTCAACACAGTACACAGTTAACCTGTGATCTCTTTAAGAAGATAAAAATCTGCAATCAGTTCTCAGTAGCTGGAAATCTAGTTAAATAAATATAGAATAGAACCGCCTATTACAGTTAAAGTAGGGTGCAGGAAAATGTAATTGATGATGCAAGTGAATTCCCTTTGAAAAATGACAAACTTATTTTCTGATTAGGACAGTTTAGAGTTTGTTACATTGTTTGTCATCCCTGAATACATGAAGTGAGAGTAGTGCCACTGTATATAATGGAAATTTAATTAATATGTTTCAGTAGGAAGAATTTTTACTCAACTCCTCTGCAGAAATTCTATATATTTGGGAGGAAAGCTGTTTATTCCTAATTGCAAGATAGAGCTTTAAAATATAAACATGTTGGAGTCAAAGTACTTGTTTTAAGATAGATACCACTTTCTTGTGTTAACTCAGTATTTTTAAGCTTAATACCCATTTAGAATACTTTAAAAAATAAAGTAGGATTGTGAAAAATTAAGAATACCATGCAACCTTGACTTCCCTGAAAAAGTGTGCCTTGAATTAATTGACATACAAGTTGACCATTGCTTTCAGTGGTACAAATATTGTAACACTAACCTTAAAAGATACTAAGATTCAGATCAAAGGGTGCAGTGGAAGCAATATGGAATGAGATGGACGTTTTTATGTTTGTGTTCATGTAAGAATTTAACAGTATGAGTTGTTTTTTCCTCAGTATGTAGCTTAGCACAAATCAGAGTAAAACTAGTTTTGGAAAATGGTGTTTCTTGTAGTTGGGAATAACTCAGTAGCATTTGCCTAAAAACTAGTATGTCAGTTTTCTTTCTGCTAAGCTAAATCAAAGATACTTTCTCACTGTTAAATGTCTTCGAAGTTCTGGTACTTGGCATTGAGATTTTGTTACCAAAATAAAATTAGAGAAAGAAAGTTACCAAACAGCTGAAATGTTGAGACATTCTGAAGGCTGATAAACAAAAACTGCAACATCTTGAGGAAATCGAATAAAGTTGGTTTTGGTTTTGTTTTTTTTTTTAATGTGGAGGAAAAACAAGCACATTCTTTTTTTTTCCACTGCTCCCCTGCATTTATGATATGCTAAGCTACAGAAGTTTAGCAATGTTCGAGTTTTTTTTTCTGTTTCAAAATGTGCTGCAAGGCTTTATATTTGTTAAGATGATTGTGACTATTAATGACCTGTCTTTCTTTGTATTTATACATTTCTGCATTGCTTCATATTTAATCTAAATCACTGCAGAAGCATTTCTGTAAATGAAACACTGGTTTGTATATAAGTAACTTAGGAATGACCCTCAATTTTGACTTTTATGCTTACATGCACATACCTGTATGAATTCCAAAGCTCCCCAGTCATACCAGCTCCTGGTTGTTCCCTGTACATGGATGAGAGAGACTTAGTTACAGTGTCTGGGCTGGCTCTGTACCCCAGAGAGCCATCTATGGACCAAGCCCTCCAGTGCTGTGTGTATTTAGCACAACAGGTGTCAAGCAAGGCTGGGAAAGGGCACAGAGTGTATTAGAGCAGAAGCAAAAAAAGTCTAGGACAGCCATCTGTTTTTCTGCCTGTCTCTGAAAATTCACTTCTCTCTGTCCACTGTGTGAAAAATAACATTAGCTTTGGAGTCGGAGGAAGTGGGAGGCGAAAACTTGTAGCTGAGGGATGCTCATGCACATGGTGCTTGGCTGACTGTGCAGGGACTGTCACCTTGTCATCAACATTTCTCTCCTCTGTGTAGCTTCATTTTTATCGTTGGCAGGGCAGGAATGTGCCTGTTCCTCACAGGAAAGCCAAGCTTGATGCCTGAAGCAAAGGAGGGCAGACTGTATGGAGCTGGGCTGTGGCAAGAAAGGAAAGGCAGTTTCCCAAAGGATGTGGGGGAGTTGGTTTAGCTAACTGGCACCTGGAATATGAGAGATCAGGAAGGTAGAAAGAACACATGATAGAAGTTTGGTACCAGGTTTTGGATGGACAAGATCAGGGCTATTTTGATGATCACACAAGTGCGAGCCATTACAGAAAAGAAGTGTGAATGCATTAAGAAGTTTGTTCTAGAAATGAAATTGCCTCTGTTTGAAGGAGACAAATGGAAATGGTTACCATGGCCATGGCACACCTTGCTATTGAAGTTAGTGACATCCTTTTGTACTCCTCGTTGTTGCTAGATATCATTGCTTTTATATACACTTATAATTGCTAAAGGTTTTTTCCATGTCTGGCCTGGTGACTGACTTTCAGATGGACAGATCTATAGCTTTGCTCTGTCAGCAGCTTCTGTTTTGAGAGTACTGTTTTAAGAGTATAGCGAATGAAGAAGCAATAAATCCAGGCTTCTGATTTAAATGTTAAAAACTCCCAGTACAGTTTGCAAAAGTTTCTATTTGGCATTAGGTCTTGAATAATACACTGTCATTATTACTGTAGGAGAAAAACCTAAAAGTAAAATAGTGTAGGAGGTAATGCCCTTGTGATTATGTGATGTGACAGACAAGATATCAGCATATCTTAGCAAAAAGACTCCCCAAACAAAAACATCTCTAAAACCTCCAGGATCAGTGATCTGCTAGGAAATTAGCTTTGACAGTTGTATTGGTTTTGTATTCCTCATACAAGTTTGTGAGAGTGAGTGAGCAGGTCTGTAGGGCTTAGCTGACTGCTGGGGTTAAACCACAGCAAAAACTGATTTCATTTTTGAGAGATTTTTTTGGGACAGTGATCACTTTACCTAGTACAGTATTAATTTTCTAGTACTTAAGGTAAATGTTTCTAGTTTTGAAAATGAATCATAAAGGGTTGGAAAAAACCTAAGAAGTCTGTGTAAGGAATCAGTGGCAATCTTTTTGCGTAAACATTACACTTTTTTTATTTTCCTTTCTTTTTTTCCCCTTTGCAGCATATAATCAAGTTTCACAGGGCTTCTAAAGCAAACAAGAAACCAGTTCAGTTACCTCGAGGAATGGTGAAGTCGCTGTTATATCAGATCCTAGATGGTATTCACTACCTGCATGCTAACTGGGTGTTACACAGGGATTTGGTAAGTGGATCCACAATGGGTTTTAGCACTGGGATGATGATTGAGGGCAAGGATTGTTTTTTAAATGAAAAATCACTGGGAAACAAAAACGCTTGTGCTAATAAATATGTATTTTTACGCTGCAGTCAAACAGCCTTGATTAGTAGAGTGAATTTTAAAAGCTGGCTGTGATCTGATATGCTTGTGAGGGCAAGTGTATCAGATGGCTGTTTTCATTTTTTGATTTTTCTGAACAAACTGTTTTAAAAGTGTTCATTTAAATAACAGGCATGTTGAGGTACAGAAAATGCCTCTGGTAGTATCACTGCAGGCAAGAGAAATAACCAAATGAGGCTTTTGTGTAGGTGGGGGAGAGGATGATTGGCTGTAAGAACTGCTGAAAAATAAAAATTCTCTGAAATTAAGTTTTACATAGGAAAGTAGCTTTTGAAGGCCATTATCTTCTCCTAATATTTATAATCTACCAGAAATATAGCCACGCCAACTTCTGAAGTATTCTGTAAGTAAACTGCTGTTTATCCAAACCACAATGTAAGCAAAACGTTTTGAACCTGAGTGTTTTTTAATCATAAAATTCTTCTAAATTGGTGAATCTCACCAATTCTTATCTATTTGTCCTTGAAATATGCCCATAGCTAGCTGGCCTTGTTTTGTCTGTTGTCTTAAAATTTGGTAGTTTTCCTGAACCAGTTGTCTTTAGCTCTTATTCTTAGAAGTACAGTGAAAAAAAAAAGTGTTCTCAAAGTATGATACCTACATATGATAGTTCTAATTATTGAAATTTCATTTGTGTATGAGAGTATCATTACTTAGGCCTTTCATTGCTATGAGTCCTTATTACCAGTTCTATTCTGTTTGGTGCAATAAATCTGGCTTCCTTATTACTCTTCCTTTTAGTCTTTGAAGACTTTTAGTCTTTGAACAGGTTTTAGTAGTGTTCCTGGGAAGGTGGTCAAGGACTAGTTATCTGTCTATTTTCATGCCTGATACGTGCTTTTACAGAATGCCAATATCTCTTTTTAAACAGATGGGAAAAGATTTATCTCTGCTAAACATCATTTTCAGAACTGAAATACAAAGAAGCTTTGTTTTATCAAAGTGATTGTATGAATGTTGCTTCTAATTTGCTCCTGGTTTTAGGAATAGAACAAAAGCCTCAGCACTGAGTGGAAAAAAGAAAATCAAAAATATTCTGGTGGCCTTGTGATGACTCAAAGTAGTGGAGCAAAATATAATAAAGAAATTCATAGTGCATCTTACTACTTAGACAACTTGGTTTGAAACCAAAATGTAATGTCTTCCTTTAATGTTCTGCCTGCAATAGTACTTTCAGTATATTTTTAAGAGGCATACAGAAAGTAAATGACCTGTTATCAAGAATCAAATTTTTCTCATATTTTACTTTCTACAGTTTCAAAAAATTTATTAACTTAAAACTCAGTTATGCTTAAAAGAAAACCATGCATGTTGTTAGCTGGATGGCTCAGGAGATGGGTAATTTATTACAGAGCCTTTCACATCTAGGTCTGTAGCTCAAATACAGTTTAAGTTGGCAACTGCAAAAAACTATTACCATCTCATTTTCTGGTCTGTGTGAAATGAGTTGGTGGTCTCAGTCCAGCATGAAGTTTTCTTCCAGCAGAAAATCCACCTCACAATTGGCTATCTCTTGATAATCTGAGGAAAAGACCAAAAGCTTGAGGCAGAGACTGAGAGGTCTTCCCACTGGAACCTTGTCAAGCTGTGTTGGTGAGAATCCTATAAAAGCTGTACAGGGGCTGCCTGTGCTGCCTTGTCTGTGGAAACAACATTGTCATTTTGAAACCGTCCAGTTTGAGCTGCATTTAGAAGGCACATGTTTCATGCAGGACAAAAGACAGAATTGTACCTGCCAATGCTCTCTTCCTTTTATTTTACTCGTAGGGTTTCTGGGAGTAACCTGAGTAACAAAAAGGATTCTACCTAGTGTTTTGTCTTAAAAAGACAGGGTGGTGCAAAGTAAAGCTTGAAAATTGGGACTTTGCTAGCACCTATATAATGATTCAAAGCAGAATAACTAATGTTAATGCTTAGATGTGGTTTTCTATTCCAGGATATGTTACTCTTCAGGAATAACAGTGTTAAGTCGTCAATTTTAACTCCAGATTGGATGGCTGGACAGATTTACTATGTTTTTCTTACTGTGCCTTTAAAATAATAGGTGTTGCTGTAGTTTCTAGGTGGTTTATATTTTCCTGGATTTAGATACACCCACAGAGCTGTTTAAGTAACAAGCTTGCTTTCAAGTCATATACTAGCTATTATACAAGTGATGGTGCTTGGGGGTGGTAGAAAGCTAAAGAGTGTAGTACTTTGGCAGAAAAATCTGTTATTTGCTACTTCTCTCTCATAGACTAAGGATTTTTTAAAAGAGTATGAGTTATTTATATAATTACCTTCCATCTAAGTGCAATTTTCTGCTTTTGGTTTGATTTTCTGTTGGGTTTTTTGGTTGTTGGGGTTTTTTTTTGAAGATGTCTTAGTGAAGTTAGCTTTTAGGTAGGTAATGTTCTGGAGTTTGAGATCTTGACCTATGTAACCAGAAACAAAGCACAGCATAAAGCAACTCCTTTTTTGCTGGTGTCTACAAGCCACGCAGTAAAACTTAGTGGCTATTAAATCACAGGAACTTAGACTGAAATTTGTCTTCACAGTGTTGGAATTAAGGAATCTTAATTCATTTAAGATTTGTATAAATGACTATCCTTCTGTATGAAACAGTAAAAACTGTAAGAAGACAACAATTGTCTATTGTGAATTTTATATTCATGGTTTGTCTTTAACAAAGAAAATGCCTACAAATCTTTGCAGTAACTTAACTATTTAAATAGTTAACTGGTTTTTTTCTTTCCCTGGGTACACGAAAGCCAGTTCACCATTTCCATCAGAGCAAGGGAGATGTTGATTGTATTTATTTTTGAATACTGCAGTCCTTCAGTAGTTAGATTTTCCATAAGTCTTTGAAACACCCCAGTAGAATTTTTCAATAAATAAATGCCAACCTTTTTTAACTTTCTTACTTTACTTGCATATTCTTCAGCTTTTTTAAATTTCACGGCTTAAAGTAATTGAAAGCAGATAGTTTATTCATGCTCTGATTGTAGCAGGAAGGAAATAAGAACGCTTCATGTAATCACCACAAAGTGCATCAATTACAGTTTTAATAATATTTTGAATTTAGTTATGAAGCATGCATTTTGCTGACTTCTTTTCCTAGTATTTTTTCCATTTTATAATATCCAGCTATTGGACTTGCCTTTACTGCAAGTTCTTATTCTACACTAAAAATAAGCGTAAGCAGAAGATTATCCATAGATCTGTTTTCATCAATCTGCAACCTCAACAGCAAGGGAAAAGAGAAGATGCATTTTACAGCGTGCTTGGAAGGTTTTTTCAAGTAATGGGCTCAAAACAGCAGTCTATTTGCATGGTACAGTAACTTTTGTGCCATGCCTGTTAGTATTTGAAAGTGCATCTTTATTTAATATTATTTTGTAGTAGTCCTGTCTACACAATCAGGATCCAGTCTCAGCTAAGAGAGGAGCACCCCTCCACTACATGTGTGGTCACTGACAGTAAGATTAGTCTGCAATTTACATTAATAATAGAATTTGCATCTAAACTATTTGAAGTACTTCCATGGTGCAGCAATGCTTAAAAGCATACCACCACATCCCCAAAAAAACTACAAACAAAAAACCACAGAGGAAATCTCACAGGTCTTACTTGTAGTACTGCAGCTGGGACACTAGGATAAAATTATTTTTGTTTCTAAATCTTCAGACTACATTCTCTGTCCCATTTTTTTGTGTGGGGTGTGAGTGGGTGTTGAACTGATGAATTGCCACTTGGCAAGCCAGGTATGGAAGAGGGGTTAACACAGTGTTGGGCTCCTGCTTCCTGTTCCCTTCCTCCTGTATCTTGCCAAAGGAATGACAGTTTCTAAACCTTTGTCAATAACATCTGTGTCCTAGTTAGTCTGGGATTGTGTCACTGTGGATGTGAACATTTGCAAACTAGCACAGGATACTGCTAGTGAATGTGTTCTAGTGTGTAGCTAAGCTGAACTGCTGCTTTGAGGTAGTCAAGCTTTAATACAGTTGGAACATAACTTTCTGGGACCTGGACTCTTCCCAAGGATACCTGCTGCCAGGTTTGGGATTAGAGATGTTCTTTTAACAATCAGCGAGGAGAAGCCACTGCCAGAGTGTTTTTGTGGGTTTTTTTTGTAGACAAAGTCTTAATTACTTTTCAGGCTCTGGAAAGTGAATCACTTAATTGTGTGCATTAGGCAAAGTTAAATATGTGGAACTTTTACCCTGGCAGCTTACCATTTCCCCCATTAGAGCTTTAGAATCCAAGGAATTCTCCCTCATCAATATTCAACGATGACTTCAGAAATACAGGAATGCCCTTTGGTGTTGCTGTAGAGCTTCCAAATCTGCGGTCATTTGAAGGAATGAACCTAAATTCTTAAAAAGAAGAAAGAATTAATAGGAAAAGCTGTGCACGTTATTAGAAAGAAGTTTGCAGCTTTTAAAAGCAGGGTAGTTTTCTACTCTGTTTAAGTGTATCATAGGCATCGTTTCCCAAAAGGCATTATAATGACTTGGTAGTGATTTTATTTCAGAGGAGAAAAAAAAAAACAAACTAGTCCAAACCCAATCACTCTTTTGGTTGTCAGCTGTTACATTTCCCAGGATTTTTCTTTGCAAGGTGTTTTTCATTAGGTATGCGCTTTCATGAGATCACAAAAGAACAGTGTGTCTGGCAGAACCTTGTTTTCTTGCATATGCTTACAATTACATGCTTTTCTCTGAGTTGTAGTTTACTATAATTCTAAATATTCTATAGTTAAAATAATATCTAGTGTTTCTTAATGCTTCTATTTACAGGGAACATGACTACTCCCTTGCCTACCTTTCTTAGTATTTTCTTTGTCTTAGATTAAACTTTCAAAC